CCCGTGAACCGGTTGAGAACCATTATGCGCGCTTACGAGTGCCGCCGTTTAAGCGAGGCGCACGGGAGACTTCAACGCCCGCACAGGCGAACCCATCGTGAGCCGCCGGGCCGGACCCGAGACTTCAACGCGCGCACAAGTGAGGCCCGTCGTGAGCTGCCGCGTTGCGGCGCGCGGCGAAGACTTCGATACTTGCATAGGCGAGCTCATGGTGAGGTAGTAGAGTCCCTAGAAGATAGAGTCTAACTATTCCTTCGATCTTCTTTCATCGGTTCATAGGTCCTTCAAAATGGCAGAACTAATCATAGTGTAAAAGAATGTAAAATAATTAATTTCATGATTAACGCGTTATTAGTATATTGTGAAATTATAAAGCCACTCATTTACAGATCTCAGTCTTTTATATAAAAAAATATGTAATTCTCAACACTTTTATTTTACATGTAATAAATATCCATTGACTATATACTAACTTCTATCAAATATTTTATAATTACGATATAAAATGAAAAAAAAAACTCGGAACATATTTTACACACACACTTGATATTCGCACTTTCATCGGTTCATAGGTCCTTCAAAATGGCAGAACTAATCATAGTGTAAAAGAATGTAAAATAATTAATTTCATGATTAACGTTATTAGTATATTGTGAAATTATAAAGCCACTCATTTACAGATCTCAGTCTTTTATATAAAAAAATATGTAATTCTCAACACTTTTATTTTACATGTAATAAATATCCATTGACTATATACTAACTTCTATCAAATATTTTATAATCACGATATAAAATGAAAAAATGAAAAAATGCACTTTGCCGATACGAATCATCCTCACCGTACAAATACGCGATTTTGAGGGATAAGTGGTCAGGCTCTATTTTCTAGGGATTCTAGTGGTAAGCCAGCGCAAGCTGTCGCATCGCATCGCGCGACGGAGACTTTAATGCCTGCATAGGCGAGCCCGTCTTGCCGAAATACACGCTGACCCACGGACGAATCTGAAATCGATCTAAATGTTTCATCATCATAACTCGATCGAGCGTTGTAAACTACTCGAATTTCCATCCGCAATTTCGACTCGCTCAACAGTATTTCATTTTTACAAAGAATGACAGTGAGAGTGATTTTGGTCATAATGAGGGAGACGCGGAATGGGAGACAGAGTTTGTCTTTGGAAGTTCATAGAACTCATTTGAACTTCATATACGTACAAACAAACACACACACGCACGCACGGTCTGTCTTCGTAAGTTAGCCGCTAACTGCTTCTCGAAGCCATTCTATTTCGTTGTCGCGGACACGAGAACCACCTATGACAATCGGGAAGCCCGTTGTCGAGGCGTACAAGGACGAAGCGACCGTGCGGGTCTGGGCAAGAATGCACGGTTTTTGCTCCGCACGCTGCGAACATGGGAATGCGTAGGTACGATAAGACCATGATGAGTCGAATAAGATTTTCGTGCCCTCCGTCGCCGCGTACAAAACGTGACAAATGAGCGTTTTACCGACGAGGACGCATATTTCGCCGATAATAACTTGTCGGCGGGTATTCAGAGGGATGCGCGCAATTACGGACGACACGACCTACGACAGAGTCGTCCGTGGATGCTTCTGCTGGAACCGAGCGTATGACGCATTCGCGACGTCGCAACTTTAACCTCCGTTCTCTCCTCCTTGAACTCCCGGGACGCAATTTTATTCGCGCGGGAAATAAATCGCGGAAAGTTCCGCGCGCGAACCACAGTTATCCCGCAAAATTTCCCCTTGTGCTTAGCCGTAGAAACGGCCTCTTCGGATTTTCTATCGCGATTTTTTCTTAATCTACTTTGTATTGTGTAAGGCTCTACGAGTGTCACCTTCTCTTAGGATATTTTCTAACAATGTTGCCAGGCCGAAAACTCTGACAGTCTCGACGAAAAGCGTTACCTGCAACAGCTCTCTCGCGAGAGCTCGGCGCGGTGTTTTACGTAATAGGTCAGAGCGTGGTAATCGAAAGGTTCAAAACGATCGGTGTCGAAGCGCTCCGTCGTCGCGGTCGCTCCAAAAGTGAACTTTGTCGCGCCGGCTGAATTACGGCACTTCTTCGCGCGCTTTCCGACACGCTTGGCGATCTGCATGGATACCATACCCGGTGCGCGCGTTTTAGCCCGTCGCCGAGCGAGATATACGACGAGAAGGTGGGCGCGGAAGGCGACTTTACGACTACGCGCGCGCGTCGACAGATACGACGGATAGAGGTGGGATTTTCTCGGCGACGATCGCGGACTTCGAACTGCTTTCACAAGATCGATCTTAGAAAGCCGCGCGTAACGCGCACCGTGTTCGTCCGCGTGGCTGACCGCGCGGACGATTCTTCGCCGACGGCACGACCCGCCGCCAGTCGCCTCCATCGACTTCCACCGGCCGAGTCACCGCGTGCTCGCGCGCGCACAGCGCACTCGTAGTTCGCTATGCAAATGCGCCACGGGCAACGAAAACGCATCTGAGAGAGATTGACCGGAAAAGAAATATCTCAAGCAGCGCGCTCGCGCTCACGCGGGAAACCCCACCTCTTGGAAATCGTCGTTTCTCCCTCTTGCCTCTCGATCCGCCCACGCAAACGCGTGCATAGCCACCCACGCGGTGCATGAGCGCGCGGAGATCGCGACGATTCCCACGGAAAGAGGCGCGCGCGAGTTCGAAAATTATCTTTATTCGCGGCGACGTAGCATCTCTGGCGCTATCTCTGCGAGAGGAACAACGCGTCCGATGGAAGAAACCGCTCGGAGTCGAATCGGTTGCATCGTACCTTTCGAGGTCCATCCGAAGGGAAACGCTTCGTGGACCGGGCCGATTCCACGTCGATTCGTCGATTCGTGTATAACCGGGCGCGTTCGTAGTTCACGAACGAGGAACGAATCCCTCCCTGAGCAGGGTCGCATCGCGCGACGTAGCCTGAGGCTGTCCTCTCTCGCTGGGTGCCCATTTTTCACGAAGTCTCTCTCTCTCTCGCTCCCTCCTCGCACTCCTCTCCCTCCCCCTGCTCCCTGCCTCTTTCACTCCCTCATCGTCGTTCCCTCCACTTCGCTCTCCGACCCTCCTTTTTTTCCTCTTTTAATTCCATCTTCTTCTTTTTCTCCTTTTAATCTCTCTTCGTGCGAGCAGCCAACGCCCGTCCTCTTCGTCGCTCGCGCGTCCTCTCTTCTCCGTTCCTCTCTCATCGTGGACTCACGCACACGCCCTCCTCCTCCTCCTTCTCCTCTTCTTCTCTCCTTCTCCCCTTCAGCCCCTGCTCTCTCTTTCTCTCTCTCTCTCACTCTTTCGATCCTGAGTCCATCTCCGTTCGTGGCGACTACGCCGGCAGCACCGGCAGCAGCTTCGCTCTCTTTGGCGTCCGGCATAGGCGTCTCTTCTCGCGTGCTCCGTGCGTAAGAAGGAATCAATCGGTCGTATGTGCGTGTGCGTACACTTGCACGACACGCACACGCTCTTCTCTCTTCGTCCCACCGGCGGCGAATCTCCCTCGTGGATATCCCTCTCACAATGGCGGTGAAAAGAGATGAGGAAGACGAGGAGACGATAGAGTCTGACTCTTCTTCGTGCAGAAGAAGAAGAAGAAGCTTTTACCTCTCTCTCTTTCTCTCGCGTCTATGTTCTCTCTCCATACGTTCTCTCATACGGTGAGAAAGATGAAGAGAGTCTCGGTGCGCTCGCGCAAGCGAGTACATTCGCGTCAGTCTCGCGATGACTCGGGAAGATGCTTCGATCGTCGATTCGAAACGAATAGACGAGGGCAAGAGTCTCGTTGTAACATGGCGGATGCAATGGGAAAAAAGCTCGCGGAACAAAAACTTATAATAGTCTGGCCGTATCTAGATGTCTTTTCATTCGATGCAGCGTCTTTCGGCCGATATCTTTTTAGCGTGTACATTCGGGAGATGACTTTACGTCCCTCTATTAGATATCCCTCGGATACGGTTTGGTATGTGGATATCCTTCTCAAGGTGGCAAGATAAAGAGCGAGCGTTATAAAACCGAAGCGAGCGGGACCAAAGAGGAGGTAGATGCGGAGGCAGGGAGATACAATAATCTACGTGTGCGTGTCCTCCTTCTCGTTCCTCCCCGCGGTCCTCCCCGCGGGTACCCTTCTCAAGGTAGCAAAGTCGAAGCGGGACGGAGACACGAGGATGAAATCCGGAGTAAGAAGGACGCTGAAACGCCGGCGATAACGTACGTCTACGCGGTTGTCTTCGTCCAACGTGGACCTTCGACCGTGTGTATCCTTCTCAAGGTAGCGAGGCGGAGTAGGACGCGGCACGAAGGTGGAACCAACGATAGAAAGGAGGAAAGAGAACACGAAGGAGAACGAAAGAGAGAAAGAGAGAGAGAGAGAGATAGAGCCGGAGACGGTGAACAGGACGGAGGGACGCGATAATGCACGTGTGCGTATACCGCGATCTTCGTCTCTCCTGCGAGCTCCTCGTCAGGTATCCTCCTTAGGAGGCGGCTGAACGGAGCAGAAGAGATGAAGAAGCGGCGGGTTGAAGAGAGACAGCTATAGAGACACGATAATGCCGGGTGGCCAGGATACTGGCCGCCTCGTCGATGACTCGATGCTCTGTTTGTATCCACTCGCTGCGAAGACGACGTTTCTCCGTCCTGGTCGCACTCTCCGGCGCGATCCATGCGTCCGTCCTTGTTTTGCATTAAGCTACCTGCGCGTTGTATCTGCCCGTCCCGCGCACCTTTGCGAGACGCTCCGTCCGTCTCTCTCGGTCGCGTCTCGATCTTCTACTTTGCCTCGTCTTACAACCGGTCGCTCTCACCGTGTCGTGAGCGAGCGAGTGAGCTGGAGAACACGCGCAGTGGAAAAGAGGGACTGAGATGCCCGAGGCCCTCCACCACTCTGATACGCGGACTCGGCTGTCATGCTCTCTCTTTCTCGATCAAGAGTGGGAGGATAGAGAGACGGAGAGCTGGACCATGAAGAACGGAGGGAGAGAGAAGGAGAGATTAAGAGAAAGAGAAAGAGGGAGAAGCAGGGGAACGCTGAAAACCAAAGGGAGAGAAAAAGGGAGACGTCTGGAAAGGGAGACGTTATGGGATAAGCACAGGTAAACCCAGCGGAAGAGCAAGAGAGAAAGAATGACGTTCAGGAGCAAAAGAGGCTGGACGATCGGGAAGGAATAAACGCGAGGGTGAGCGAGTGGGAGAGAGAAGGAGAGGAGGAGCGAGCGAGTGAGATAAGCTGTTTTGTGCGAACGTGTGTGGAACACGAGTGGAGTAGAGGTAGGGGTCCAAGCTCGAGCTAACAGCGGCGTGCTGGGAGGAGGCGGCAGAGGCGGCGGCCATGTTGCTTATTCCAAGTGAAGAGAGAACGATTCGAGAGAGACTCGGTGAGGCTGCTTCGTTTGTGCTTGCAGCGACCCAAACTTCGGTGGCTTAATACTCACTTGTTACGGCTGCGCCAACTTTCAGGTAGCGAACAGTTTTATTTAAAGTCTTAATTGCCACGCCAACAATAGGAAAAGCAAGTTTTCCATAGTTCATCGGCCGGGAAAGTTGTCTTCTGTGTGATCGCGTGCGTGTGCGACGGCAACGTCGTCGTCGTCATCGTCCTCGTCGTGGTTGCGCGCGCGAGTCAAGATGCGAGTGTGTGTCTGAAGCCGGTGCCGCGGTTGGGATTACGAGGAGGACACGGACAGGCCGAGTAAGCGCGGCTTCCGAGGAGTGCGGACGTGTGTCGCGGAGCGTCGAGTGATGTGTGAAGAGGAAACGCGCGCAGAGTGACCGTCGGCGATGCCCGAGGCTCGTGATGTCTATGTAATGACGTGCGCGTTGTGAAAATTCGCGATGTATGCCACCAGGTGAACAGACCACGCGACATCCGACAACTCTTTGCCCGCGCGCGCGCGCGCGCGTGAGATTCAACCGCATCTTCGTTTGCGAATTCGCCAGTTTCGTCCCTGGAGACACTCGCAAGTAGCGCGAAAGGACGGGCCCCCGTGGAGGGTGCCCTTGTCGAGAGAGAACAGCCCCGATACCAGCGAATCCGCTGAGAATTCGTACGCCTCGGCCCACGACGCAGGTGGTGACACTATCATCCGTTGAGATGTGATCCGGAACACAGGAGGGACGCTCAGTAGTTTGTAGTTGGTCCCCATCCCCCCTCTATTACCCCACCCCAGCCCCCTCGCGACCTCTACCACCTACTACTCTACCACCACCTCCCTCCCTCGCCTCCCCCCGCAACACATACGCGCGCGCGATAATCCACCTCACCTCACCGGCAAAGCAACCACCGATCAACGGCTCTTCTCGGATGCGTCGGCTACTGTATCCACGCGACGAGACTTTTCCCCATCTAATGCGACCTTAACGAGTGAGTATTGTCTCTGTTGATCTCGTTGTTCGTCTCGCTACTATCGCGACTATCGCGTTATTTTCGCGCGAGCGAGCGACCGAGTAAACAAGCGCGACCCTCGTCCCGACACCTTCTCGTTGATAGCTGGGGGCCACTTGCGCGATGACGCACAGGTGACGCGCAGGTGACCTACCAGTCAACAAGTGAGCACGCAGACGTTCGCGCGGGCTATCTTCATTGGTAGATACGTCTCTCGTGGTACGCTTCTCGTCTCCATTTGCGAGACGCTTATCATCGTCTTGCCGTGTTGCGAATTTTTTTCGCGATATCGCGATACACGTAATCGGTATTGGAAAGATGTTAAGATTCCCACAGGGGGATCGTCTGATGGTAGATTAAATTCTTCTCCGAACATCTCTCATGGAGGTGTGACCTTTGGAGGAATGTTAACAATACATACAGAATTATTACTACCAGACTCTTTGCAAGCAGGGATCGTTTATTAACAAATAACCTTTGTGGCAGTACAGCTCCGTTTCGTCACTTACCGACGCGTTCGCGTTTTGAGCCTGAAAATTGCATGCTTACAGCCACGAATATACAATCGGATTCGGAATTACATTTCTACCCAAAGGTTACGCCCATCGATTGTCTGTATAAGTGAACGCGAGACGTCGTGACCATTTGAAAATTATCTACGACCAATCAATATCGTTCGGGTGCAACCTGTAGCGTCCTCTTGAATTCTTCCACGTCTCTTGTCTTCTACCTTTAAAATATGTGGCTAAACACACGTAAACCACTTTGACCTTAAGCGACTCACAAGGGGACGGCACTGCCGAATTTTCACTGCCGAAAAACCGAACCGTTCACCGTGATCGGTTATAACCAGGTAGACAAATTTCTTCCGCGCGACTCGCAGACAAAGCGGTCCCGAATTGTATATCGCGTATCTCGCTTGCGCACGGAGGAATTTCTCTCTTTCCCTCTCTCTCTTCCTCTCTATTCCAATAATCTTAACTTCCCTGGACCGGCGTCTGCACATCGCTCTTAAAGAACGATTCTTAAAAAATCTTCCCGAATTTTCACTGGATTCTCTAGAAATTCACTTTCGACGCACTAACGGCAAGCTGCGCCGCACACCGTAAACGATCTCAGCGCTGTAATCGCAGCCACCGCGACCGGCTGCAACCACGCGACGCGCACCGCGACGGCGGTCTCTAGGATCTATCGGCGACAGGTGCAACGGTCCGGGCGAGAGCGGGCAAACGAGCTTGTCGCCGATAGACAACATCGCCTCGCGCGTCTCTCCGCAATCCGTCGAGACGGAGAACTATATTTCCTCTTTGTGCGACTCGACGGAGTCCACCGTCTCCGGAGGCATCGTTCACTGACGCGAGGTGAGGGCGTACAGGTACTTGAAATACAAACGGACCCACGGAGGTGGGTCCAATCTGATGCAGGGTTCCCTTTGAGAATCAGGTTAGACCGGCCGAACCTGCTCCTCTGGCTTCTCGTCTCCGATCCGCGGTTGTATACCGGCCTCGTGTGCGTACCTCCTTCTCCCCAGTCGCCCCAATCTCCTTCTTCCGCGTAGTAGGTAGGTACCTACCTACCTACCTACTTCCCGCCGCCATCCTCTTCGGCTTCTCTCTGTTCCTCTCTGTCTCTCTGTCTTTCTTTCTAACAACCAGTCTTGTTCCTTCCTCGCGAGCATCACTGCGTCTCCGTTATTGACGGGACAGCCCGGGAGATGGGAAGAGAGAGAGAGAGACAGAGAGAGAGGATACGCGCGCGAGATCGCGAGAACGAAAGACAGACGGATAGATAGACAGGGACAGCGAGAGGGAGAGAGAAAGAACCGGCGCCGCTCTGTATGTTCACTCTCGATGGTCCCGCTTCCTCGTTACGTCTATTATTATACCTGTCTATCCGTCAGAGCAGTGCCCGCGAGCTGAATTCCAGTTTTACGCGCGCGCCCTCCTCCGCGCGAGCGCGCCCGCGCCTTCCGACGTAGTAGTAGAAGCAGATGGGCGAGTCGGAGAGAAGAGCGAACCGACTGGTTTTACTAACATTCACCTGGGCGAGCGTGCGCGAGGACGTAGAATTCGCGGTGTCAGACTGGTTGACCGACATCCGCGAATCCTTCGCCCGGCGATAAGTGAATAACGCCGAACCTGCTGCTCGCCCGCGTGGTTCCGGTTTCGCGGCCGCGACTCGTCCCGCGCGCGCGCGCGCCATGTCTCCTCTTCCTCTCGGTCACGTGCGCGAGTCTGGCGGATCCTCCGGTTCCGCGTCGGCACCTACCTGCTATGCGGAAAACGTAGGACTACTTACCCACTTCCACCTCGCAACCTGGTCGCCGGCTCCCGGGACGCAGCCGGTTCGTCCCGTTCCCGTTGATGAAGGGAGCTCCTCGGTAGCCGGCCGCTATCGCGCGTCCGCGGGAGAGATGAGTCGCCTCTTCTTCGCCGCCTTCACTCTCGATCACCTCCCGGCTTCCTCGCACGTTACGCGCCTTACCACATTCACATGCATCACGCTCGTTGAACACATGTGCTTAGGTTAACTTAGGATAAGCATAGACGAATAGGGAAGAAACTGCGAATTTGTTAGCTCAAATAATAGCGAGATAGTGATAAATTGACGTCAGATAGATATCCATGGATACCCCTGGATATATGATATGTTTTAAATATATTTCGTTTTTTGTATCACCAGCTCTGTTTTTCTCTGATTTGCAGGTCCTTCCCGTCCATTTTTCTTGGGTTAATAACGTGCCATACAAATCTCAACGCAACCTGTGATACGATACCCGATGACTTAAACTGTCCAATCACGTAGACGTAGACATTTAGTCGAAAATTAGATCGGGCTGTGGACAGCTTTAAACTGTCGGTCGAAACAGTAACAGAACTACGATTTCTGAAGAAAGAACGCGAGGCAGCTGAACTATTTGTGTGAACACACAATACCACGAGAGAAAAGGACTGGAAGACGGCACTGGAGAATGTCGACGTGTACTGACGAAGCCGATAACGCACCCCTGCACATGCAGGAGGCTCTGTCTCCGGTTAGTTCTGAATTATATTATTTATTATTTATTTTTCATAAGAAAAGTTTATTTTATTTTAAGTGCTCAATTCTAATAATACTAAACACCGTATTTGTGTTCGTTCGAATCTTAAACTCGATATAAAATTATTATGATTATTATTAAAAATCACTCAGGATCAGGCAATTTTGTTTAACTGCATGTTCCACGGAAAGAATGTTGTAGTAAATATTACTATAAAAATTACTATAGAAATTACTATAGAAATTTATAACCGAGGAATAGATTGACATTCTACAGTAATTAACTATCTTTTCATTTCATACTACTACTGCTATTTATATTTTAAAAACTAAACTTGAAATAAAACTAAGTACTATTAAAAAGTTAAGGAGGCAAAGCACTATAAAACGCCAAAAATAAGGAAATTTTCGGGAATTTTTTTAAAGAATTTATTTATCCAATCGCTTCCCAACATTGTAATGTTTTCGCTTATACATTAAAAAAAATATTTTTAAGTTAAGAAAAATGTTTATAGATTGTATGTAGTCAAAAAAATATAGCGTCGCAGCAGAGTCGGTGCAAAACGGTGTGCATTATGGCTCCTATTGTATTCATCTGAGACAAAAATAGGGATAAATGTTTTACTCTTTATAAACATAATTTATCGAACTTAAAAAAGTTGAAAAAAAATTTGTAATTGACAAAAAAGCAATCTTTAAAATAAAACTTAAATTTTTACTCATAGAAATCCATCTTTATGTATGTAAAAACATTGTTTAAATAAATAATTTTATAGATTTTATATTTTTATCGACTAGTAAATATGATAAACTAAATGTATATAAAAGGGTAATTCTATTGGTCAAATAGTTTTTGAATTATCAATGTTAGTTTGAAAAAAATCGTTTCGAGAAAAACGCGTTTAAAGCTTTAGGTATAGAAAATTGTAAACTTACAGCTGTTTTCTGCTCATCCGTTATTCCTGCCCCATACAGTAAATCTTCTGCTTCTTCAAACAAGTCATTTTGCTCAAGTTGGTGTTGTTTACTTGCTATTCAAGCCTCTGCAACTTAGGCTGCGGCGCTCCTGTCTCTTTATTCGCTCGGCGTCCTTACTATCAGAATATAATTTACATATAAAGACCCAATTTTAATTTCTAATATTTCCATTATCTTCAAAATAGCAAAGTAGTTTTCATTAAATATCCCAGCGGCAATATAGGCGGTGATTTCGATGATTTTAAGGTCAGAATGTACATGCTTTGAAGCTAACTGTTAAATCGTACTATTAAAACTTTTATTCGCATTTTTATGTGCCTAATCTAAGCACCTTTTTAATAGATCTTTCTTAGAATGGTATTTTTCGTTTTTTTAAACGAGTTTTTCGGAACAAAGCCGTTGTGAGTCACTGGCATTCAGATCTCGCTTCACGCGCTCGTACCTACCTGTGAGAAATAGTTTTATACGACCCTTTAGATTTTGAATTTTTAAATTTTGGGAATATATTCTATACATATAGTACTATTAATTAAAGCAAAAAAAGAAATTCGATTTTTATGACCCTCTATAGTGCTCTTTCCCCCCTTAAGTGCTATTAAAAAATTTATCATTTTTCTAGTGAAATTTATTATATTCCTTAGCAAGATAGATTTTACTGGCAATCTATTCCTGAACTAACAAAAACATAATAAAATTAAAAAGAATTTATATAAAAAAAACTATAATCTCTCCATCTAAAATCTCTCCGTTTTTCTTTTGTTTCCTTCTTTTCCGGGTTTTGCTAGAACACGTCTCAGGTAGCTTCTTATATAAGATTTTTAGGGTCAAGCATATCGCTTCTTTTATTATCGACAGCCTATTGTTAAAAGAGTAGTAAGCGATTATTAAGGGCTGAACATTCCATTTAAAAACTACCTTTAGGAGTAGAAATAGTAAGGGTCAAACTGAATTATCCCATTCCGAGTGAAAATAATCCATTGCTATTTTTCAAACACCGAAATATCTCGGACCAAATCTTTGTATTTGCGGTTCAAAAGTTTTGCCGCGTTTTCAAAAGTGAAACGGTCGCAAACGATAGATGTCATATAGCGCGGGTGTTGTTAGTTTCAAAAGAGAGCGAGAACATACAGAATTAAAAAATATACGCAAATCATAAAAACCTGAGGTATGACACGTTTTAGTGGGATTTGAAAATTCTTTAAAGGTTTTCAGCTAAATGCTCGCTCGGCAGGGCTCAATAGAAGCAATTTCGTCGATTATTGCACACATTTTTTGAGCGTTCCAAGCGTCGACGCGCTTCCAGTTCCTCCAATTTTCTATTTTCCTCCGTTTTAACTGCGAGAGCGACAAAAAGAGATAGAGACACGTAAAAGCCACGTCCAACAGGACAGACAGAAGGTCGTGAGACTCATCGACGGATCAAGAGCTCCTTTCGCTCCCGTTAATAAATATTTTATCATTACGTAAAAGAAAATGATCGTAGAGTAATTTGTGTAACATCTTGCGCATACACTGGGAGTATATCTTGGCGAAAGGTGCCACCAGCGAATTCTCTATCGCATTAGAGAAAATTAGCGCGTAAAATTGTCGTTGCGACAACGTGGAACGATAAGATGGATCATTGTGTCGCCGCGGGCGCTTGTATTTTGCATAATCTTAATTTCTTCCTCACGAACTCCTCAGGAAAAGTCCGAAATTGCCCGGGCGATATTTCACGCGGGAAATCACGGGCATTTTAAATCCACCATCAGCGGATGCGTATACAGAGATTAATAAAAAAATGATTCGCATTCCATTCACAGCTCCTGAGTTTAACACGCACGCGTGAATACGCGCGTAAATCGCGAGAAAAGTCGAAAACAGGAACGAGCCGCTCCGCACCTGCGCCAGGCGCCTTTAATCAGCGTGTTTAAATCCGTTTACGACGAGCATCGCGCTCGAGCGTACCGGGTGTTCAAGCGGCCGTATAAATGCTTATTATCGCGCTTCCGGATCGCGAGAGAAGGAGAGAGAAAGAGAGATAGGGAATACGCGCTTCCTACGTCAAAACGTGGGTAGTTCTGCCGCGCCTCACTTTTCCATCGTCGCGTGAATATACGCGCCAGTGTCCCTCTATCAAATCGCGGCGTTCTTTCGTCCGCATTAAACGAACGGTACGTACGTCATGCCTTACGGCATGACGTCCGTTCCGTTGTATGTACCTATCCGTGGGCAAGACATGCACGACGGAGGAAGAGATTTGCCGTGCGCGCCGATGACTCTTCAGATTTCTCGTCTACCTGACGGTTAAACGAAGGGAACCTTCGCCGATGATCGCGCCGTTCATTATGGAGATAAGAAGTAAAGGCTCTTTAATAGAATTCCGAGCGACTGGTTATTTTGTATCTTCATTAACTTTTTCGTTAACCGATTCGTTATTGGGCGGTGAGCAAAAAGAAAAAGAGGAAAAGGGGAAAAGGAAAGAAAAGAGAGAGAAAAAAGGGAGCCCCCTGTAATTCGTGCGGTCTTTTCTCGATTCGAATGACTCATACCGACCACAAAAACAAGATTGAGAGTGCGCGCAAAAAATGTATCGAAAATAAGAGTGCGCACTCGCGCATGCTGGCGACGGGCACCGAAATATTTTACTTGCGAAATCATTCGCGACCGGCTGAAAAAAAAGAGAGCGCTTGATGCATGGCGATGATAAGTGATCGGCGACGACGTTAATTAAATAAGCGTGCGCCGGTGTGCGTGTATGACTCCCTCTCTCTCTCTTTCTCTCCCCTCCTTCCCTCTCTCCGTTCCTCTTTTTGTCGACGTGCATTGGACCGAAGTTTGCGAAATACTTAATGTCTAGTTACACAAAAGACTCGCAGCGTGTCCGCAACAATCGACAACAACAACGTTCGTTCGGGCTGCGTCACTGCGATAGTCGAGCGCGATAAAATACCGGTGCTGATCGTTGTTCCACACGCAGCGCTGCGCGCGAATGGGGAAATATAATAACAAGCGCGATAACGGAGAAGGCCTCGCGAAAATACGCAATCGCCAGAATATGCCGCATGATCGCGCGTAGCGGAAAACCACATCTCGAGTCATTACGCACCGCGGTAACTGGAGATAAATTTTCCATGAAACGCATTTTTCCCGAGTCACACACACGCTGATCAGGAATGTACTCTCTATTCTTGACTGAAATATTGTATTTGTAATGGCGATACAGTTATAAGTATACATTGCAATCAGTAAAATCTTTCTAATTGGATCAGTGCAATAGCAGGGACTATTTTCATTACTGATGCACTTTGCAATACATACCAGTGTCATTGCAAGCAAGAAAGCCATTGATTGCATCATCACAAAAGTTAGATTTGGATTTCAGTATAGTCCAACTTTACAAAGAACATAGCGAAAAGAAATGTAATTTCAACATAATTTTTACTACAATATCTTCTCAGTGTGTGTAACAAATTTGTGTATTAAATTCATGAAAATTCGTGAATATTTAAATTTGTGAATCACAGATTTTGCAGTGAAATCTTACTTCCACTGCTCGAAATAAAGACGGAGCAGTAAAGTGTTTTCATCGAAAATCAGTAAACATTCAACTAATGATTAGTGAAATAGTCTTTTTGCTGATTCGATTAGAAGAATTTTTACCCGATTCGCTTTAAGAAAGTACCGCGAAAGAAAAGCATCTAACGATTCCACGTATCCTCGTCCGCGACGCACACTGCTGCGTTAGCGCGTCGCGATCGGCTGCGCAGGGGCATGTCCGTGCGCGGTTCGCGACCTGCGGCTGAAGAAACGAAGGGAACGTCGGAACGTCCGCGAGTTTCAATGCTCGTGGACGGGACCGCTCCTCTCGTTCTCTCCGGCGACAGACACGAGCGCGTGAGACCGGCCACGGCCAATTAACTGTTATTATGAAGGACTTCTTGCGCGTAAACAGAGCGTACAGCATCCTAAACGAGATACTACGCGATCGCGACGATCCGTAGAACTCGCGATAGCCGCAACGAAATTGCGCAGACG